AGCAGGTCATAATCACCTCATTGCAGCAGTCGACATTGCTGACAGCGATGTAAAGAAGTAGCCGTTCCAGGTTCGAATTTCGGAAATCAAAAATTCTACGAAGTCCAAATCAAACAGATACCCAACAACAGTAGTCATTTCATAATTTAAAGTAAAACAGTAGAAGTTCTTTGAGAATTTTAAAATTTCTCACTTTTCAAATATTTCCGAAATTTAACGGAAAATTTAAAAAATTTCATTGAAATGTTTCATTTCCATAAATTTCATGGAATTTATAACATCATCACAGAGCCATCGTATTTATTGGAAAGGAGAACGAAGATGAAAATTAAACGCACTCAACATCTAAATTTTTATTGATAACAAAAAGATAATACAAAATCATACACGTCAGCCAACGTCCCCGTCCGCCGACTCATTACCTTAGACAATGAACTATCAAAATATAATTGATACTAAAAGGCATGTCACACTTTTTTGGATAAATATTGAGGATTAAAATATAACCGTAAGCTAACTTCGTCGACGTCGAGCGAGATCCGCCACTTAAAAAATGTTAAATAACCTTTTTCTATACAGCCGCGAAAATTATAATACCTACCGGAGAGATCCGCCCGTCGCCGACAAGTACCTTGGAATAAATGTTAGGTAACGTTATACCTAAAAATATAATTATTTGATATACAGAGTAGCTAAATTTGGTGTTACAACATATACGAATTTACTCGAAACCTCGCTGCCGTGGGTTATCGGAGCGTGGGGATGATGAAACGGAAAATGACTCGGTTACTTCCCCCGAATTTTAAAGTCGTTAAATCTAAAATAAAAACAAGTAGGTCACTGTCCATTTTGACGAAATTTTGATTAAAGATGAAGTGAAGGAAAAAGGTTTCTAGACTAGTATTCACCCTGTAATTAATTTTCAGTATTGGGCAACTTGATTTCAAAAAATTCAATTATATTTCAGGAAATCTAAACCGTTTTTTAGAAAACACAATTTATATCACAGAAATCATCAAAAATATTTCACAGTTATTAAATTATCAGTTTCTGACAATTCTCAATTGTACTGTATCAATATCGGAAATAAACTATAATTTGATTGGTTAATTTTCGTAAAATCAAAATTAAAAAAACCAGACGCATTTTCGTCCGTTTTGACCTTTCCCAGCAAAACGCGGGACCTACAAAAACCGAGTCGACACCTTGCCCCCGCCCCACCCATCATACCAGACGACATACCCTTGGTGTTCTGAATTTAAAAAACATTAATTACTCTTATATAACAAACGTTCCCCACCTCTCGTCGCAGGCTACTGCAACACCAACCCGATATTATTCGGCAGCATGCTGGGACACTTCCAGTTGTACAAATAGTACTGCAACTTCCCGTCGCCTATACCAAACTTCAACTGCTCCAAGAACTCCCCGTTGTCCATCAGGTCGAGAGCGTTGAAGACGTCGAAGTTCAGTTGCTTGGCCGAGATCAGCGCGTCCGTCATCAGGGTGCACCACGGGGTGGCCTGCGATACGTTGTAGAACGAGTAAGCCGCCTTGAGGTTTTTGTGCACCGGGTGGTGCATCACCGTAGACGGCAGGGTGTAGTAGCTGACGAAGTCCGTGATCTGGCCCTCGTTTTCCACGACGAAACTGTCGATGATGTTCGTCCGCGGCATGAACCAGTGGACAAAGTCTTCTTCGCTGAAGAGCGGCGCCAAGTCGAACCGAGATAGGTACTGTAAAAGGATTAACAAATAGTTTAGCTATCTACCGACATGTTTTAGGTTTGGTGAGATATAACCTGTAAACTATATCGTATCTTAAATGTCATTGCTACTCAGTGCCTACTGGTACAAAGCAAAGCCACTTGCATTGTATCTACTGGTAGAGTGACCTACTAATCTTTAGATGCTATGAAAACGCGACGTGTTCGTACTAGATGAAATTAACTTTTTTAACTCATGATATGGTGGGAAAAACTACTGTAAACACAATATCGGTTAAAAAAAGTTTATTTTGCCTCGTACGAAAATAAGTCATGCTTTCATAGCACCTAAAGATTAATGGTTGGTTTATAAAAAAGTATTAGTCCTAACTTAGCCGTAACTTAACCTTAATCTTAGTCCTAAAAATTTAAATCTACAAAATGTAGTGTATACAGGGTGATTCAGTCATAATGTCATTAATTTTAACCACGTATTCGGAAGGCTCAATAAAGACAGAAAATCGGAAAAAAAAATGTTTACTCGACTTTTAAAAATGAAGGAAATCAACCCATAACTCCCGCTACGAGGGCGGCCCTGGCAGATGCCTGGATGCTCGGAAAATTTAGTAACGTAATGTCACGAACAGTTGTCGGCTAAAGCGAACAGCGTTGCCAAGTTCACATCATAATGTGTGGTTCACATTTACTGTTAAACGTATGTAAGTAAATAAAANCCAAGTTCACATCATAATGTGTGGTTCACATTTACTGTTAAACGTATGTAAGTAAACAAAAATTAAAATTAATGACATTATGACTGAATCACCCTGTAGAACTAAGGCAAAGTTAAGATTTTTATAAACCGATACATTACATTCTGTACATTTAACTTTTTAGGACTAAGATTAAGGTTAAGTTACGGCTAAGTTAGGACTAATACTTTTTTATAAACCAACCATAATACGTTTTTGCCAGTACGCAGTGACATTTAAAATGTGACACATTTTGTAGGTTATGTCTCAACCACAAAGTGTTTTACGTCGCGATCTAATGAAAGAATAAATTTTAAATCTATTTAATTCAAGGGTGTAATTCTCAGAAAAGTGATTTCTACAAAGGCAAATAACGATAACTTTGTGTTATGAGACTATTTTCAAGCACATAAAAAGAACGAAAAAGTGGGCCGATATAGACATTTTCAATTTATTTTCTTTCGCAACAGAACAAGTGGCGCTTTATTTGATCACAATGAAATATATACATACACAAAGACTAAACTTAGGTGAAGATTGCATTTGTCTTTCTTATTTTTTATATGATGTGACTTGAAATTTATGTTAAAATTGCAGAACAAAACGGACACTTTCAATTATCTTTTGAAAAATAAAATCACCTTCTGGCAATATAAATACCAACAATTCCTAAGTTAAACAGTGCTAGTTTCCAATAACTTGTAAATCTTCGGTCTCTATAATATTCAAATAGCAAAGATGGGTTAGTTTAAATTTCATTTTTTGTCACGTAAAAACTGAGTATTTGATATATATAGACAGAGTGTCCCAGAATAACGTGTGCAACGAAAGACCACAGATTCGTGGACTCAAAATAGGCATATTTAGGCTAATTCACCTATGTCCGAAATCGCTTCATTTGAAATTGAATTCTGTAAATAACTCGATTATGTATTAATCGATTTTGATTATTTCTGGGGTGTAGACTTTTGCTTTCAATCTTCAATTTTAATGAGTGTCTTTTAAAACTCATAACTACCACAAAATTGATGTATGGTCATAATATCCGTTCATAACTTTTTCTTCTTTCGGACAATAATGACAATTATATTTTATTTGATAGGTGATACCATTTGGAAGTTTTTGGGCCTCTTATAGAATTTTGATTAAATGAGCGGTTTGGGTACAAAAAAATAGTTTTTGAATGTTGTACTGGGTTTGTATGGGTTCAGGAAAGACGATTTTCCGTAACTAATATACAGGGTGTCCCGAAATTCATGCAACAAAATTTGGTCACAGATTCTTAAGACAAATTTAGGGGACCTGTATTTTTTATTTTTGCCAAGAGGCCACCTCTTTCGGAGTTACAGCCCCCTGAAGTCCGCCCCTAAGAATAATCTTTTTTTTATATCTCAGAACCCTGTTGTACGAGAATCACTAAATTTGGTACACAGGGGTTTTATGACCTGTGAAATCTGATGGTGCTACGTTTTTTGGCGGGGAACCCCCTTAAGACAATTTTTCGTGGGCCCCTTTGTCTTTGGAGCCAAAAAAAATTTGGTCGTATATTTAAATTTGGTACACATTATCAGTCCACTAGAAAGCCATTAAATTTAGAAATTTCTTGTCTCTTAATCTGTTTTTCGTAAAACGCAATGTTTTCGAGAAAAATGTCAAAATGTGATCGAATGCATATTGAGATTCGCCATTTTCCTCAAAAATATTGCGTTTTATGAAACAAATATCAAGAGACAAAAAAGTTTTTAAATTCAAAGGCTTTGTAACTAATAATTTTAAAAAAAAATCAAATTTTCGAGCAAATTTTTCTAGTTCCAAAGACAAGGGGGCCCACAAAAAGTGTCTTAAGGGGGTTTCTCGCCAAAAAGCGTAGCACTGTGAAATTCCACATATTATAAAACCCCTGTGTACCAAATTTACTGATTCTCGTACATGGTTTTGAGATATAAAAAAGACTTCTTAGGGGCAGATTTCAGGGGGCTGTAACTCCGAAAGAGAGGGCNTCAGAACCCTGTTGTACGAGAATCACTAAATTTGGTACACAGGGGTTTTATGACCTGTGAAATCTGATGGTGCTACGTTTTTTGGCGGGGAACCCCCTTAAGACAATTTTTCGTGGGCCCCTTTGTCTTTGGAGCCAAAAAAAATTTGGTCGTATATTTAAATTTGGTACACATTATCAGTCCACTAGAAAACCATTAAATTTAGAAATTTCTTGTCTCTTAATATTTTTTTCATAAAACGCAATGTTTTCGAGAAAAATGTCAAAATGTGATCGAATGCATATTGAGATTCGCCATTTTCCTCAAAAATATTGCGTTTTATGAAATAAATATCAAGAGACAAAAAAGTTTTTAAATTCAAAGGCTTTCTAACTAATAATTTTAAAAAAAAATCAAATTTTCGAGCAAATTTTTCTAGTTCCAAAGACAAGGGGGCCCACAAAAAAGTGTCTTAAGGGGGTTTCTCACCAAAAAGCGTAGCACTGTGAAATTCCACATATTATAAAACCCCTGTGTACCAAATTTAGTGATTCTCGTACATGGTTTTGAGATATAAAAAAGACTTCTTAGGGGCAGATTTCAGGGGGCTGTAACTCCGAAAGAGGGGGACAGTTGGCAAAAAGAAAAAATACGGGTCCCCTAAATTTATCGTAAGAATCTATGACCAAATTTTGTTGCATGAATTTCGGGACACCCTGTACATATTTAACAATATGCTTTACATGCATAGATACACAAATTTGTTTATGTGAGATTATTTAGGACAACACTTCAAACTGATAAAACAACCGTCCACCACTTTCAACAATTCTCGACGATCTGCCGGGCTCTGGATTGTCCCCCCTTTCGCATACTTCCTCTCTCCCTCAGAACCTCCGCACACTTTCGTGGCACATTTTGAAAACCACTACAATGTCTACATTATCTTGCCACTCATATTACAATACTTAACAAAGTGCTAGTAGTCATTGATTTTGCAGGTTGACTGTAATTTCAGTTTGGTCTTTAAATCATTGTCCCTGCCAATTCTTAATGAGTGTTTACTACGATAAAATATACCATGTTACTTCATTTTTCGATATAGATAAATACATACGACGAATTAGAGTTATTTATAACGTGTCTAATTTTATTGAAATAATTCGTAAAAAAACAATATAAGATAAAATTAATTTGAAATTATTAAATTTAGTACAACTTATTATAAAAACTGTTTAAAATGACCACCGTTGTTTCTGCAACAAAGGACATCTTAAGGACCATTTTTTAAAAGATTTTGAATATGCCTCCACAACTCAGTTCAGTGTTAGATTTGGAATCATGCACTGTTGTTTTCAGAGTGCCTCAAAGATAATCTGGTGAACGTACAGGCCTGTTAACAGGAAATTATCCCCTCTACTGATCCATCGACGAGGGAATCTTTGGTTCAGATACTGCCGGACATTTACAGTGAAATGTAGAGGAGTGCCGTCATGCATAAACCACACTTTAGCTCTGAGTAATAACGGCGCATCTTCCAATAACTCGGGTTTTGCATAAATTCTAAATAAAATTGCCCATTCAGTCTATTGGCAATAATAACAGAGCCAATAATAATGTTATCCCAAACAAGATCAAACTGAAATTACAGCCAACTTAGACCTACAAACTCGAAGCTTACTAGCGCTTTGTTGAGAATTGTAATATGGGTTGTCAGATAATGTAGACATTTAAAAAATATTTTTTTGTACCCAAACCGCTCATTTAATCAAAATTCTACAAAAGGCCCAAAAACTTCCAAATAGTAGTACCTATCAAATAAAAAATAGCTGCCATTATTGCCCGAAAGAGGAAAAAGTTATGAACGGATATTAACACCATACATCAANTCGAGTTATTTACAAAATTCAAAAAAAATTCACGAACTTTGAGGCCATCTAGCGGCCAAACAAAGCGATTTTGGATATAGGTGAATTAGCCTAAATCTGCCTGAAATCTGTAAGAAACTATAAGCAATTTGTTGCCCTTATTGAAGTTAATATTTTATTTTTAGAGTTTAACTGTGCACGAAATGTACAAAGAAATATGAGCAATTCTACAAAGCATGCTATCTTTTTATTTTACTCGGGTGAAATTTTTCCAGTTATAAATTATGTAACGCTTCATAGGTTCAATGTAATTTTGATGAACAAGGCCTCAGATTGTCTCTAAAAGAGTACTCTTTAAGTTTTAGAGTGTCCACTAAAATTTGGTTTAAATTCAAATGCAGTTAGAGCTACTTTTCGGAAATTTCAAGAATTTTATAAACAGTTTTATTTCAATTCTAGGTCTGTTATTCTTTAAAGTTAAAAATCCATTCTTTCACAGAAATAGCATGTAAATATTGTAATATTGTTGATATATTTTACCATATTTCTACCGCTCAAGCTTTTTTCATTGCTTTTTAGTTGTTTTCTTATCAACTTGCTTTAAAACCGCATCGCTTGCCCAGCTATTGCATCTAACTTTGTAAATAGGTACATATAGCACAGTATATAGTTTAGACTGTAAAGATTTGAATATATCTTAGAGATTTAATAAATATAGTTTTATTAACACTTGTAGTCTTTTATTCACTTAGATCAGTAATTAACGGACCACTGAATTAATACCTTCTTCATTGTAACTATCCAACCATTTTTCTTTTCCGAATAAAACCCTGTGGTATCTTTCCCACACAAATAAAGAATTGGCGCCAGAAATTAAAACGGACCAAAACCGGAAAAAGGTAAGTTACGATAGTGACACATGAAACACTTGTCGAAAATTCAATTAGTCGAATGGTACGTCACAAAACATAAAACTCAAAAGTTGGTCAAATTCAAGGGTCATTTTTAGGAACATTCTGATGCGCACGGTTTTAAAGTTACAAAGTCCATTAGTATCACGTTAGATACGACCCACTTTTAGCTTTCATTCTGTGCATTTTTCAGAAGTTATGAACAGAAACATTATTTCAATTCCAATTTAGAGTAATACCCATCGACATAAACGATTTTATAGTATATTCATTAAAATCTATTAACAAAAACACTGAATGTATTTGTTTAATAATAAATGTTAAATTTCTACGCACAAACGATGTTTTTTATAGTAAAAGAATTGTTACGGATAAATTTGCAATTTAAACAAAAAAACGCCTATAAAAAACATTCCGTTAAACATTTATAAGTAATTCTTCCAAGTTACTCACCTCTACTAGCAGCTTGTGGGCCAACGGGATATCGGCGACAGTCATTTTCCTAAACCCGGGCGTTTTTGGTTTGTCGGGTAACTTGTACAACTTCAGAGTCCTCTGCATGGTCATATTACGGGACAGGTGGGAGAACTTCACTTCTATCAGCTTCTTGGGGTTCAAAGACCTGTGCCAGTACGTGCACGTACTGACGGGCTTTGGCAACACTATACCCGCCGTATAGACGGCTTGAAATAGGCCGTTGAGGTGCACCCGTCGCGTTATCTCTCGGATGAGGACCGGTGCTACCCGTTTCGAGCGCAACTTCTTATGGACACACAGAAAGTTTATCTCTACCATACGTTGTTTCCTAAAAATAACGAAAATTGTTGTAAGCACCAAAAATACTAGTACCTATGCCATGATATGATGTCATATACTCACTTTTTATAAATATTAAGGGTTGCTGGTATGGCAGATATAAATCCCACTAACCTTCTGCTCTTCACTACTCTTACTCCGCAGTGCCACTCCTTCTTCCAACCAGGAGGCTGGAGGGCCCTGAAATACCACACATTGCACCCTGACTCTTTGGTGTTCCATACGAACTTACCATTTCAAGAACTCTGGCTGGTAATCGAATCTAAACATACAGTCGTCATCTTCAACATAATTCTCATTAAGAAGAGTGTACAACTCTTTAAGGACTAGAGGTTCGTCTAAGTTAAGGGTATCCCACACGAAACCGTCAGGTAAACTGTAAGGTTCCGCTCTAATTTCCGAGATTTCTTTATCCGGTTCGATGGCTTCGTTCACCGTTATCTTTTCATCTACAAAACGGTATTGAACGAGTGCACGTTTCAAGTAAAGTATGACTTACCCATTCGAGGCACAGGTTGTGTGTTCCAGAACTGGTAGGACTTCTTTAGGGCCTCCTCTGGGGTTTTAGCTGGCTTCTGCGACAGAGAAAAGACCTCCATCGCGGCCTTCAAGTCTTTGATAGATATTGTACTAATAGGTGTGGATAGATTCGACAAGAGATTGCTTTCGTCTTGAGTGACTTCAGTGTTATTCTCTTCCTTATTCTCATGGTGTTTCTTTTTGTGTTTGTTCCGTTTCTTCGAACTGGAAATGAGGTTAGGTTTGAAATATGACTAGGCATTTCTAGGTTATCCTCGTTGCTTGTTTGTGGTAAAAATAAACGCAGCATTATTATAAATAAGACTGCGGCAGTTAAATACAATGTATAGTATCGATTTTGTCATAATTTGTGAAGAAACCGAAGCCATTTTAAAAAACGAGTTGTTCGTAGGATTTATTAGGTATTTATAAGACAAGTTATTTAGTGCTGTAATTATTTAATTTTCGTACCTTTTTGTTGTCGGTGCACCTTCGTTATTTCCATCTATCTCGTTAATATTTTCCGGTTGCTTTTTTTCACCCCTTTCCGACATTTTAACAGATGTCTAAAGATCAAAGATAAATTAGGAAACTGCATTACTTGTCAATTTGGTAGACAACCAAATATACAAGGCAATGAATCGCTGGTTAACTACCATTAAATTTTTGATAATTCTAAAAATACAGGAAGCTGATATGTTGTCTACCTATCCAGCAAAAAATTTAATAAGTACAAGTAAAATTATTATTTCCCATCTATTATACAGGGTGGTCAAATGAAAACGAAACAGAGCCGTTTTCAGGAACTGCGTCAAGGTTGCAGAAAAACGCTCAGACCCATCGATTTTAGATTAAAGGGGGACATTCTTTGCTGGTATTTTTGACTCCGCCACTTTCACCCCCAAGCAAAGGTAAGCATCACCCCAAAATATTTAAATGGCATTGGGGGTTGAATAATATTTCTTTTGAAAGCTCTTACAACAGACTTTAAATTTTATAATTCCGCACAATACTTATTAAGAATTTTCATTTTAAAGTTGAAACTTATGTACAAACAATTAGTAACGGTAAAAATGTCAGTCATTCGAGTTAAGTACGTCAATGGTATAAATTTGGTATTTCTTGCGTTACATTGGTTTTTGGCGATTTGTTATCACTTTCGTAAAAAAACACAATTGTAAAAAACAGAAATGAATGCTATACATACACAATGAACGTAAAATTAGTGGATTCCAAATTATTTTCTAGTATTATTTGGAAGCGTTGGTTGGTAGTTTATTTAATTGTGTTTTTGAAAATTAAACACTATGGTTTATTCCATTGCGGAAAGGGTAGATATCATTTC